TTATTTGACTGCACATTAACAATCAAACCTATGAGATAATTAATAGATGTAAAAACAAATGAATGGCTATTGCAGATTAAGATAAATCTTTATTGATCCCCAGCGAGGAAATCCGGTTGTTGCAGCAGCACAGGGACAGCAGTAAGTACAGATAAATAATGAAAGTCAAAATAATTAAATAATAATATGGCATATAAAACTAAAATAAGAAGAGGAAAAATACAAAAATACAAACTTGAAGACTAAATTAAAAGGTAGTGTGATTAATACCAGTAGAGTCAGCAAGTGTATGTACAGTGCACACGATATGATTAAGTAATGGTAGTATAAAAAAGAATATAGTGCAAATGTAAATTATTAACCTAATATAGCATAAAATATGTACAGCAGTATATGGTGTAACATGTAGAATGGTTCAGCAATATAATGGAATACAATATCAAATATAATATGGTATAGTATAATTTATAAGTATAGTATATAACAAAATATATATACACACGCACATGTCAATCAACTATAACATTACAATATGAAGTGAATAACACTGATTATCTCGTCACCATGGCACCTGTCAGTGGGTGAGATATTTTGGCAGCAAGTGAACATTTTGTCCTCCAAGTTGATGTGTTTGAAGCAGTAATGGCTAGACGACTGGGTCAGAGCATCTCTAAAACTGCAGCTCCTGTGGGCTGTTCCCGGTCTGCAGTGGTCAATACTTATCAAAAGTGTTCCAAGGAAGGAAAGGTGGTGAACCGGCGACAGGGTCATGGGCGACCAAGGCTCAAAGAAGCACTTAGGGAGCGGAGGCTGGCCCATGTGGTCCGATCCAGCAGAGAACTACAACTATAGATCAAATTGCTGAAAAATGAATGCTGGTTCTGATGGAAAGGTGTCAGAACAGTCGCAGGCCAGTCAGGGTGCTCATGTCACTTCACTGCCGAAAGCACCTCCAATGGGCACGTGATCATCAGAATTGGTTTTCTTTTACATCACGTGGGTGGCTGGGTGCATGTGCATTGCATACCTGGGGAACACATGCCATCAGACTATTGGAAGAAGACAAGCCGGCGAAGGCAGTGTGATGCTTTGGGCAGTGTTCTGCTGGGAAACCTTGGGTCCTGCCATTCATGTGGATGTTACTTTGACACGTACCATCTCCCTAAGCATTGTTGCAGACACTGGGTATTCCCTGATGGCAGTGGCCTCTTTCAGCAGGATAATGCGCTCTGCCACAAAGCAAAAATGGTTCAGGGATGGCTTGATAAACTAATGAGTTCAAGGTGTTGACTTGGCCTCCCAATTCCCCAGATCTCAATTCAATCGAGCATCTGTGGGATGTGCTGGACAAATAAGTCCGATCCACGGAGGTCTCACCTCGCAGCTTAAGGCCTTAAAGGATCTGCTGCTAACGTCTTGGTCCCAGAAACCACAGCACACCTTCAGAGGTCTAGTGGAGTCCATGCCTTGACGGGTCAGGGCTGTTCAGGCGGCAAAGGGGGGACCTAAACAATATTAGGCAGGTGGTCATAATGTTATGGCTGCGATAACATGCTTTGCATCCAGTGCCACAGCAGTGTTCTCTTATAAAAAATAAAACCTGCGGTGATGTCAAAACCAGTTCCCACCTAAATGACTACACTGCAGATCAGTGCTGCTCAGAATTATTGTAGTAAGTCGGTGTCCATTTTGGGATACATACGTTTGATTGCAGAGTTTTAAAATACAGTAGCTTGATGTGGGTCAGAAGGTCATGTTCTGCAGGCATCCTGTGTTCACTCTAATCCATACATCACCAGGCCCGCACACTGAATGTTACTACCAATGTGGTTGTACGTGCAGTCGAATAACTGTTACAATCAGCAGTCCTTGAGCTGCTCATGTGTTGGGGGGGGGGGGGGGGAACACACTTCTCCTGTCTTCTTTGACTCTATTGTGCTTTATTTAGTTTTATCACACCACCGGCATTCCCCCTCATTCAAAGTAGTATAAATGGGAAAGCATTACTCCACCAACAAAGGGTGTGAACCGTTTTTGCTCTGCTAGTTCGCGTGTGAAGAGAGGGGCCTATCATATCAGCTGTGTGAAAGTTTAAACGGCACGCTTGCAGCAATCTGCTTTTCCACTCTCCAGGTCCTTTATCCAGCCAGAGCAGTTTTCCTGTGGGTTATTCTTCCTATCCCTGCACAGGAAAGCCGTCCCCCGCTGCTGCTTCCGATCCTGAGCTTTCCTCCTAGCCCGAGGAGTCAGACAACCCTTTTCCTTACCATTGTCGTCCTATGTTGATGATTTTAAAAAGCCTAGAAGATAAGAAATATATTTAAGTGGATCTTTTATTACTAATAAATGCAGTTTTTAGGAGGCCTAATCTGAATGTTTACCTTTGAATCAGGATGAACACGATAGGATTTACACCCACGAACGTGATCCCTGCAGAGGCTTCACTTAGTGTTTGCTTCCTACAGTCTCTCTTTACCTTCCTGCAGTTGCTTTGTCCTGATTTGTATACATGACGGGGTTGTTTCTCCTTATTCTGCCCTTCCAGGAACACGGTGGCCTTCTTCGAATCTTCCCAGAAGGAAAGGCCCAGTTTGCCGACATAGAGCCCAAATTTGACCGTCTGCTGCTGTTCTGGTCAGATAGACGGAACCCTCACGAGGTTCAGCCCGCCTTCGCCACCAGGTCAGCATCCAAGTCTCTCCAAGCTCACAAGCTCAGATGATCGGGCCTGTGTGGAAGTGACTCATGGTTCTAATTCTGTCTCCACAGGTATGCCATCACGGTGTGGTATTTTGACGCAGATGAGCGAGCCAGAGCTAAAGAAAAATACTTAACGGGTAGGTTTTGATGTACAGACTACACAGTCCTGTTGTTTCAGGCCCATAGAGCGTGTTTTAATTTTCTCTTTGTGTGCAGGTGCAGGAGAAAAAGGAGTAAAGGTTGAGCTCGGCAAATCATCAGATCCCAGCTAATGGGAAGCCTGCTTCCCCTACAAACGGCCATTAAGTGCTCGGTCCTACGAAAGTGGCCTATAGAGCGCATGTGCGTGTGTGTTTTACATGGCAAAACTGCAGACTTTTGCTTGAATGTGTGGTATATCCATGCTTATGGAGACAAAACAGTCAAATACAGTGATTTCTGTTCATTTCCAGCACACCAGGGCAACACAGCGGACCTTGAATGTCATGACATTGTACTGAAAGGGATTGTGTTTTTGTTTTGTTTTTTCCTTTCATCTCTTTGGTGGAGAATGCTTACGTTACAGCAGACATCAGAAAATGACTTCAAACAGGAATTAAGCTTGCAATAGAGTGAATCTATTGCATATTGGTTTTCACAGTTAATTCCTTAAAGGTACAGTGTTCTGCATATGCTTAATGTGTTATGCTTTTCACATGGAATCAGCTCTTATAAGCTACTGTATGGCAAAATGTGCTTGTTTGCAATAATATGAGGAATGATCTGAATTAAAAACACCATTTTTCTGACAGAAATGAGTTGGTCTTAGTTTAAATTCATTCATTTGCAGCTCAATAGATGCCAAGTCTCTCATTTGTGGCCTTGTTCCTCCTACTCCCAAAGAAAAGAACTTGTTTGACACTCATTTAAGGACAACATAGTCTACATACTGTACATATGACTTGTGGTTTAAGGACAGGCGCAGTCCTGTTTGCAATGCAGTTTCATGCTGCCCTCTGCAGGCGTACAGTGTAATGCACCTTTTATTGTTTCTCATATTCTGGACACCAGGATAAATAAAATAAAATAAAATTCTTTAGACTTGGTGAGGGGAAAAATACATACTTAGCTTCAGGATAACAATCAACAAATTCTACTTTTTCTACCCCTATCAGTGTGATTTCTGGAATTGTCTGTACTAGAGCCTACTCCTAAAATTAATTAATTTGATTAACTATTTTAGTCAGTGCCAGTAATGATTTAAAAGTTGTAGTATAGTGATCTAGTGGTAAATGACACAACCAGTATTTAATTTAGTGGCTTTATGTTTACACTTTCTGCATTAGATAACACTTCATTGCTCTGATAAAGTGAGTCCATAATCTGAAACATTTTAAAACCAATGCATTCCTCTTCCAAGATAATCTCTTAATTTAAGGCTTGCATGTACGTTGTGAGAATGTTAGTTACTTAGTTTTAAGTTTTAAAATATTAATATATAATTTCCATGGTACATAATGTATTAAGGCTTTTAGAATGAAAACAGTTCTGCACTAGTGCAAAACGTGTCCAGCCTGCTGGTCTTTTTGTTCCGCTGAAATTCTAATAAATGTTCCTTTTGGCTTTAATGTCCAGCTCTGAACCACAGTTTCAGTGGTTTGAGTCAGTAAAACTCTGCTTTATTATTCTTATTCTTCCACTAGGCTACTTGTTTCTGATCTACCTGGAGCAAGGCAAGGTGGAAAATATTTACCACCCAGTTCCTTACTGGAATGGAAAGTATATCTTTTTGAGCGGCTGTAAATTCATCTGGCTGTGTGCTGTATTCACTCAATTAGATTACCATCAGGGCAAAGTGCCTCCGGGCCACCGGAGTCATGCAGTGGTCATTATTACTAGAAGTCAGTAAGCATTTTATTATAGTGATCATGTAAGATAACTTTTAATGTAAATATGTGTGTACACTTTTAAGTGGTGTGATTCAGAGATGTATTTGTCACATACACAAGTAATCTGTGTAGTGATGCAATGTGGCTTGAAAAATAGGGATTGGAAAAGAAATCAATATACATAATCTGATATAAGTACAAATATGGTAGTGTACTTGCTGTCTGAAAGGATGGGACTCATACAGGAAACAGTTAACTTCTCTGCCCTGGTATTAACCTTTTTTTTTTTTTTTTCTTTTCTGTAATTCAATTCAATTCAAATTATTCCTCTCCCGCTCTCAGAATGAGACCGTTTTATTGGATTTATGAATATAATGAAAACTTTTGACGGTCACATGTTTTTAAAATGGTGACAAAAGAAATGTAACTGCATTTATCACAACACTTACAAATTTTAATATGAATTAAATGAATACCTCCTCTATATAAACAAATCTGTATGAAAAAAGAACATAGTACATAAAATATTAATACAGTACATATTACAAATGTCAGGAAATATATTAAGCAGTATTCAATATAAACTATACAATGAAGATGTTTTAAGTCAAAAATTAGATCATACTTTGTACAAGGAGTGTGCAAAATTAATGTCCAGTGGACCTTCATATACTGGCAGAGAGAAAAGTCGGTTAGTCCTGCTTCTCTAGACTAAATAGAAAATTGAATGTATCGAGTGGAGGGGCTGCGTTCAGCCCCATGTGCCTCAGTCACAAAGAGAGACCGTGCAAAAATATACAATAAAAAACAATGCCACAGGTCAGCAGGAGTCACTGTGAACTCCTGTCAGTAATGGCTTAGCTCCTCTGGAGGAAGAGGGAGGTGACAACTGTCGTCCCCTCCGATGTAGGCACCGATGCCGCTGCTTTGGCTCCCCCACTCATAGCTGTCAGCAGCCAGACTGGAGAATCAAATGCACACATTAAAATAAGCCATATTACCTCTCTATCTTTTGCCACATTCCAACTTCATGTGCAGTGTTTCTGCGATTAGATCATGGTGTTGGTTTGTTTTGGGGTTTTTTTACCTGGCTTGAATGTTCTGAGGCATGACGCTCCATGCCAGGTCATCATCGCTGTCATAACGCCGTGGGTTGTCGAAGAAGTAAGACCTAGAGGAGAAGACATGACCAGGAAGCCCAGAGCCACTCTGCAGGACATGCAAACAAGACAGTAAATATAAGGCATCATAGTAAGCAACAACAGTAATTTCTTACATTATAAAAACCTCTTGACTGTGTTTCACATAATTTGCTTATGACCCCTTAAAATAAAGCAATATTTACTTGCATCCTCATGAGCAGTGTAACCAAACAATGATTTTCTGAAACTGCAAAATTGTCTAGTAATTCAGAAGAAGCAGAACCACATTATCATGACCCCCAGTTTGGAAGCCGCTGGATTAGGGTAATTGCTGACTCACCCTGTCTTGGTTCGGCTGCCGAACTCTGAAGAAGAAAACTACGAGAGAAGTGGGGAGCAGCTCCCATACAAACAAGATCACTCCAAAGACGATGTAGCCGGCGTCGCCCAGAGTCGACTGTAAATCTGCCTGAAAAACACAACGCGTTCACTATTCCAACAGCCTGCAGTTTTACCCAGAGATGGAGGAAACTGTATAATCATACCACCTCCAATAAGGTTGAGGTTGTGTCTGCTGAAGAATTGAGCAAGAATTTAAAGAAGGTAGATCACATTCATTACACCTGATCAACTAGTCTGAACAGTCAACCAAAGTGTGTTCTTTTCACATGAATGAATAAATCTTAAGGCATTATGACCTCTAGTGGCTCACCTGGTCTGAAACGTTGTACCAGTCGTAGTCAAAGGAGTTAATACTCTTGTTAGAGAGTCCCAGGACGACCAGATTGTAGCAGGCCCTGGATGAGTACAGGAGGATGACGGTGGCTCCTACTGCTGTCACCTGGCACACTGACGTCCCCTGCACAGTTTGAAGAGTTGCAATAAGACGTTACACATTAGTCTGTCTTCATGAGGATGTCTGACATAATCTGATTACAAATCCTATAGAACAGCTGTACTTGTTCAAAGCAGTAGATCAGTACCTGTCATTCTTTGGGTCAGTGTTAAAGGACATAAATGAAAAAAATAAATATGCCGACCCAACTGTGCTTGATTCGAGCTTGTGAATGCACCCCAGTACAACCAGCAATGCACAAGAATGACACTGTGCTGCAGTCACTATGTACAAAGCATAAATTTGGAGGAGAGATCTTCACACAAATCTTTTATTCTGTTGATCCCAGAGAGTGTAAGCACAACTATTCAGATTGGATTTCTACACAGGGCAGGGGAGGACTTCTCACCTTGGATTCCAGGTAAATGTTGGCCAGTGACATCTTAGCGATCTTGTAAAGACACAGGGAGAGTGAGACGGCACACAGGACAAAAAGTGTATCGTTGATTGCGACCCTCACTAGCACAATGGTGTGGGCTTCTGCGGAGGACATCCTCACCAGCAGGGCACATGCTAAATTCACAACAAGAAACACCAGGCTGATGGACAGGAAGAGCAGGTATAGCGGCAGCCTGTGGGTCAGGAAACGAGAAACATATTAAGCCCAAAAAATTTTATTTTTTATTAGCCAGATGAATAGAAAAATATTATTTAATGGAAATGAAATCTAGTAAATGCACGATCCCCTTCTACTAAGGGTCACTGGCTGATCTTACCTGTATCTCAAAAGCTCTGGTGCATACTTCGACTTCGCCTTGAAAACAACCTGTGGGATAAAAAAAAAACAAATCCTAATTTATGCAAATGCATCAGGCTATTTTTGCAGCCCATTTTTCACTTCTGCATTCTTTCTTTTCAAAAAAAAAAAAGACGTTCTCGTGAAACAGGAACCACGCAGTTGAACACAGCAGAGCTTTTGACTTCAGATACACACTGGTCACACAGCACAGTTCCTCGTGTAATGCTTCGTGCCACACTGTCAACTCGAAACTGTGACTCAGATCTGCACAAGAGGATTATGCTAAAAATAAGCTTTAGGCAGTGGCCAGAGAAGCTATTTTGTGATATTTGGATTAAATCAGCAGGTGAAGGAATGACTCACTGCATTGCATTTTGGAGCTGAATGAGTGTGTGTTAAACAGACAGCAACAGGTAATATTCACTGGATAGTCCTATCAGGTGCTGTTAATATTCAGTCAATCAATCAGTCAATTAATAACCTTATATGTCCCAAGTGGGGCAATTGGTTATGAGGCAGTGGGATGCATACATTTAGCACACATAAAGCACAGGGCACATAAATACAACTCTAAAACAAAAATTAAATAATACATAATCAGTGTTGTCTTAGATTGTCAAAGAAAAATATGCTTATTTATAGCTGAGATGGTCAGTTCATTAACAGAAAATGAATGGTCAACAATTTTGATAACAAGGTAATCCCTTCACAAGCAAAAAGGTCAAACATTCGCTGGTTCTCTGGAAAATCATTGACTGTTGGTAGGACAAAGTCAGACTTTTAAAAAAATGCCACATTAAGATCAGGGAGCATGTGATGGACCATTTACACTTTCTTTCATTCACACAAGGCAATTTATTGATTCATTAACTGAAACAAATACTGACAGATTATTCAATAATGAGAAAACATTATCATTTGATTATCATCTCTAAATGATCTTGTACAATTTCACGTTATTACTGGAAGCCATTTTATATTTTGTCCCATGGTAGCACAATGCCAAAAGGTTTCAACCCACTGGTTCACAAGGGGTCAGTGTATGTTTAAAGATCCCCTCCTGAGTGTTTCATTACCCTGTCTATGTTTATGACATATAAAAGTAATAATTAATGTCTAATAAGTTTTTTTTCACAGCAACCAACAACCAAAACAACTGCCTTGTTAAATAAAGTATGTGGCCTCCTTGAAAAATCTATAAACTTTATATCTATAAACTGTCAAGCTGTGTACGTGTGTTATTCTGCACAACGAGGATCAAACATAAAAGTGAAATTATAATAACTTCTGACATTACAACGAAACAGGTGCTGATCCGTGACACACTACATGACACCCCCTGATAGTATCAACAACACCCAAGCCCGGTCACTCACCTGCGCAAAGTAAAGATTCATGAGGCTGAGTGTGAAGAACTGGAGGCACACAGGAAAGCAGTAGAGCAGCCAGAAGAGAAAGGGCCCCAAAGTGTTGGCTGTGACAAAGTTTCTGAAGTAGAAGGAGAAGAGCACGGTGCGCAGGGCCGACCACAGCAGGCACAGGGACAGGAACACGGTCTGGTAGCTGAAGCGCTTGTGTCGGTACCGCAGGACCAGCCAGAGCTGGACGTAGATGAAGATGAAGAGGAGGGAGTAGAAGACGGTGTAGACCACCGTCAGGCCCAAAGTGACGTAGGGAGGCACGGCCGGGCTCAAGGTAGGCAGAGGCAGGGGCTTGTCCATCGGCAGCGGCTCCTTCTCCGGGGCCTCCATGACCTGCGCTCCCGGCCCGGAGGGGGGGTGGAGGAGAGAGCGGAGCGGCCTCTGCCGGTGTTCGCCGCCGGTCTCTCTCGGCTCTCGCTGCGGGCAGAGGAGAGGTGAGAGCCGCGGCAAAAAATAGGAAGAAAATACGGGTGTGATTGGGGCTGTCAGGAAGAGGGAGGGAAGAAAAGCAAGGGGAAGAAAACAAGGCTAACTTCCTGCTGCAGAGCCAGAGACAGCCAGAGACCGAGGCACATGATCAGTGATGAGAACGAGCCGTTTGTCAGGAGCAGCAGCGGGCAGGAAGCTGCAGAGAGCTGCAGCCAGGAGCTCAGTGAGAGGACCAGCCTCCTGCCCCCCACCCTCCCGCGCTCCTTACGTGACGCTACGCATCAGCTGACGCACGCTACTTTACCTTTAACCCTGCGATGGGGCTTCCCACCACAGCGCTGATCCCAAGAGAGCAGCTGGGAGCTGTTAGATGTTTACTTTCATTTTATTAAGGTGCATGAAAAAGCCTAGACACTACCATGAAGCCTACTGCAGTCTTAGTGTTCCTGGTTCTCACTGTCTCACTTCATTGTAAACTGTCAAATAAAGGCGAAAGGCCCAAAAAGATAGACAGAAAAACTATTATACTACTATATAAACTAGAAGTTGTTTGCAATAGTAGCTTCACACAAGTCAATTAATAATAAAAGATTTTTAATCATATCTTATATATTAAAGATGCCTCCCTTGCCCAGTTGGTAATTCGGCCTCCACAAGATATTAAACGAGCAGAATGGTCAAATAATGTCCAGAATGATGCAGCAGGCCAACTTATTCTGACGTTTTGTTGTCTTGAATACGAGTCAAGCCCCAAACATACTGGATCCTACAAATTTCAAATCAGTAGCGTTTTCAATTAGACCCTCTCTGCCTGGAAAGCGCCTCCATCTTTCAAACTGTACACCCTCAGTTTGTAACACAGCCTTTTCTTTACAAATTTGAGGTCTCAACTCGAGGGCACGATTAAGTGAAACTATCTGGGTTGTTTTCTTGGACTGTAGAAGGCTCCTATAAAGCCAAGAAAGACATAATACATCTGTTTTCACAGGCTGAAAAGTCCTCCTCATGACGAACAACGAATTATGTGTAAAATCACATTTCTAATCTGCTCACAGACCTGGGTGAAGTTTGTTATGGTTAGCAGTAGTAGGGTTTTTTGTTTCACAGGACTGGGGCATGTGAACACGAGGAAGGCCAAGGATGAAGGTCACTCTTGCTCACCTTTGACTGTTGTGAAACATTTATCTTTTCGCACACTGGGTCACCACAGGCTCCACACCAAACAGGATGCTGTCAACTACAGTACTTCCCTCTTGGCTGTTAAACTTCACTTTGAATAGCCACATTATTAAAGATTTAAAACATTTGGTCTCTAATGTGTGATATGTAAACAAAAAAAATCGATTACATCATCATGCACCTTGTTTCACGCATTGGTTATAAGTAAATACAAACTTTATTTGTGTTATAATAAAGCTGAGGACTTGACCAGGAGCAGACAAGTAGCTGAAAGTGTTTCAGAAATGGAAGCAAAAGATTTAGTCAAACAAGGAGTGAATAAATGTGACACTTCACTGCTGGTTGCCAGGCAGAATGTTCAGAGACAACATGCTCACCTAACACACACTACAGTTAATAAAATCACTGGCCCCAGGGTAAATATCCCATCGGCCACTGAGAGTCCAACAAGGGCCCAATGTGTATCTCCAGTGCACTGAATATTGACAGCATTATAAAATACATAGGGTGTGTATATAAAGACAAGAACTGTTACTGGGTGTACATGTACATCTGGGATATTAATGTGCTTACTGTTTGGATGTCAATTTATATTAATCTCTGGAAACATTTTAGCTCTATGGAGAATATATTCAGAAACCAGACCAGAAGGTGGCACTGTTCAACTGAACAAAGATGGAAAGGCTGGGACGGCTCCAAGAAAGCATATAAGCAATGTTTCATTTATGAATTCACTTAATGGTCTCTTTCCAAAACACTATAGTATCCAGTTAACTATCTATCTAAAGTCCATATATGGTATCTAGAAAAAATGTTGTAGATATATAAAACTTAATACTATAGTGCTAAAGATGTTGAAATGATCTTAATACTGCACTACTCATCTTTAAGCCCTACCAATCAAGGGGCTGACAATGGAAAATTGGCCCTAAGGGTAATGCTAAAGAAAAGGCTGTGGAATCATTAGAATCATAAGGATTTATTCCCTTTGAAGCATCAATGTGCACTTTAAATTTCACAGCAATCTGGCCACTGTGGCCATTAAGTTTTGGTCTGAAGGTGGTGCAGGAGGGTAGCTCTCTGAGTGTCCACAAAAGGCTCATCCTCTAGGGTTTTGATTCATAACTGATTTGCCTTGTAAAAGAAATCAGTGTCTACCTGGGACCCTTCATCACAAGTTATGGCCTCAGTTTGCAAATGAGCTGTGAGCAGTTTGACCAGATTTATTTGATTTAAGTTTTAAGAGGCAAAAATAGAAGGTGAAAATATCCAGCATTTCAAAATGGAAAAAAAGAAAATTCAAAAGAACCATCCATATAAATAAACATATTTTGTGTAACAAAAATATGTATTTTTCATTCTTACTCCCTTACATGCATGGGCACTCCATACATTTCACACTTGAAGATCATTTTACTCTTCATGAAGAGAATCCTTCAGTTTATCAGAAAACTTCAAATTCAAAATCACCAAATTTGAAAATACATGGTTTTCACTGGACAGGAAGCTGTAATCTGCGAAGTAATAACTAAATGTAGTGGAGTAAAACAGTACAATGTTTGCCTCTGAGATGTAGTGGAGTAGAAGTATAAAACTGAAATACAACAAACTACAAGTACCTTGAATTTGTACTTAAGCACAGTACTTGAGTAACTGTACTGTACTCATAATACAATAATCTGTGCTATCAGCTATCTCTTGTGTAATCTGGTGGTAGGCATGGAAAAAGGTCAGGAAGTCACAAAAATATTATTAATCATCATCTGGAGATCATGATTGTCTACATCAAATCTAGTGGAAAAAAACTGGCAGTAATTTGTAGCTCATTTATTATTTTGTTTTCATTTTCAAAATGCATTCTTATGGACCAAAGTGTTGGCCATTTTAGACTTATGTTAGCACTGAACAAAAAGTCAGAGGTCACTAAAATTAGTGGGAATCATGGGGACCATGAATACCCGTATTAAAATGTCATGGCAATGTGGCCAACAGTTGCTCAGATAAGTGGACCAAAGTGTCGGACGGATGACTGACCATCCATTAGCAGTGCAGAAACCACTCCGAGTTGAATCATATTACCAGCATGCACTTCATTATCCCAGCTGGAGTCAAGTCTGATAGCCACAGCGGCATGCCTCAAATGATTAGTGTATGCTACAGTGCTCTGTGATATTGTCCTTTTCATAATGTTTCAATCAAACCAGCCATGGGGCTCTGTTGCTGGTAACTGGTCCATGCTCTGATGTCTATGCCCTGATGGCCCCTTGGCCTGTCTCCAAATCTGCCAATACAGCTCCAGTGTTGTCCCTTTAGAGACACTTGGACCTCTCACACAGTGGCCCCAGTATTATAGTACCTTATCATCTAAACAGAGATTGCTGTTTTCTACTGTATTGGCAATACTGAAACAATGAGTTGCAAGTCAGAGTTTAAATCAAGGGATATGATGTGAAGCTGACCACAGAGATCCTCAGTGCCTGCCCTCAACCAACCCACATAACTTCTGCCATGCAATGTTTTTGTTTTTCAAAGTGGGCACTGCAGATGCCAGGTGAACCGTGTCATTAAACTGACCCCAAGCATGCCAGCCTATAGTCACATCACTCCAGAAAGTTGTTTTAGGTACAGCATGAAAATAAAAGTATAAGCCACCTCTCATTTCTCTTTCCAGTACTATTTCAGCCCCCCCACCGTCCCCCAACTTCGCCCCACCTCCATCTCTCAAACTCAGACTGAACTTTCTTTAGTGGAGCCTGTGCGTCACTCTCCACTAACCTTGGGCAAACCACAGGACTGCTCAGCTGCTCCTGAAACACGAACTATGGGTTGGCAGGAGAAAGGATGGCTCGTCTGTGCGAGTTTTCTTGGATTTGTGGCGTCGGTACAGAGCATAACGCGGGGAGGGCTTTTTCCGTTCGGTCCAAGCGCAAGAGACCAATTACTGGAAGCAGGGAACGACCAGACGCACCGACTTGAACTGGACAAGCCCGTTTTGTTTTATGATGGCATTTTTGACAGCATATATGTAAGTTAAGCCGTATCTCTTTACACTATATTACTTTTTACACACACGCGTGGGATTTATTGGTCCGGGCGGGCTGTCCATCAAACTTGCGCTATTGCGCATAAGCTAGAAACTCCGGGTAGTTAAACATGAAAGGGGGTCAATGGTAACAACCTTAAACAATGCCTGGAAGTTACAAAATATTTCTGGGGCAGGGTATAACTTTTTCTGTCGCTCAGCGGTATTTGGAAATATTGATTTACTTATCACAGAGGCTGCTGTATCTTGTGAAATGCATGTGTCCCCGCATTCTTACAGCTTCCCCTGAGGTTATCATCTTACTGTTGATACAAAGACCAGAGTAGGCTACTCTAGGAACCTAATTTTGCAATCCATCCCCAAAACACATTACTGTGGGGCCAATGAGAATGAAGTAAGCTTATATGAACCAAATGTTTAAACTGTTCAGGTCCTGCAATATCTAAATAACATACAGTATGTAAACTGATGCAAAATAGTGGCCAGGTTAGTCTGGAATTCTTCACATTTGTTAACATGTTTATTATTTTCTGTTTGCATTTGACAGGTGGAGCTTTTAAATGGTCAATTGCAGAATTTAGCTGAAAGCTGCACCATTGTGTCAAGACAAACAGTCCTTTATGCCCTGTGATTTTCCTTTTTGAAGAAAAGTGCTGCATCCCTGTTTTAATTGTCCTGCATTTGGATAATATTCTATCAGAGAGTAATTATTTTCAAGAAGTATTTCCCTTGAAAAGCAGGAACTCAACCTTTGCCCATATCTTATATTTTATTTAAGAAAAGCCAGTAGTCTTTGTTGTTTATGGAACATTTACAAACACAGAGGCAAAATGTCATGGTTAACACATGAGCCTGAGGTTGAGAATAAATATTTAATTCCTTGTTATAACAATCAGTCTGGGGGAGGGGGGCTTCCCCACTGCTGACTACTTCCAAGTTATTCTTGCATCACATACCACAAACATATTTCTCTACTGCAATCAAGATGACCTAAGTATATTTGTTTGTTTCATTTATGAGACAGTCTACCCTGAACTGTCTGTGCCCTGAGGCTCACAGGAGTGTATTCCTACCAGATGCAGTTATAGAAAAAACATTTTATCTAATTATGAGGAGGTTTTATCGTCTGCTGATGGTGATTCATATTCCGCAACATGTTCAGATCCACTAACCTTAAAGATCTCTCTCTGCACTACGTCTTTAAAAAAATCAGAATCACTGATCACTTTCCCAGCTCGATCTTCCATTTTGGCAAGAAGTTTCTATAATGAAGATTAGTGTGCAATCTTCAGGCTTTCTGGGGCTACTCGTCAGGGGCAAGGACAGGAAACAGTGTGGCCCGGGCCAGCAATAGTGCTCTTGTTTTCCCCTGGTCAGGAAGTGGAGGAGCCCTATGTGCAGAGTGTCTGTGTGCGTGTATTTTTGACATAAGCCCAGATTTTCTTTATTTCAAGCCCTGAGTGTGTTCACGTTAAACCAGAAGTGTGTAAAATCTGTGTTATATGCCATTCTGTATGTTCATTAGTGCTTTTGTAGGACATGGCAGCTGACTCTGACAATTAGTCTAATGAGTTTGGAATAAAGATCAAAGTAGGTCAGAGTGGAGTGGGTTTGCCTCTGCTGTGAAACAGTTCTTCATATGTTATCCTAGTTATTGTAAAGACAGTCAAACGGTGTTGCAATCATCTAATTTTTTGTTATCCCCATTACCAACTTGAGCTTTTAATTTCAGATCAACAGCAATGGCTTTGTTGCCACAACAGAGCCAACAAGCGAGTCGACATATCTTGGCAAAATGCCCCCAATATTCGGCATGATTGCAGCTCTGCAAGGAGACCTGGACACAAGTGATGGTGTGGGGAAAGTTTTTTTCCGTCAAGACTCCAGTCCTGATGTTCTGCGTCGGGCAGCCGAGCACATTAACAGGGCCTTCCCTGAGGACGATGAAGTCAATCCCAACCATGCTGTGGTGATCACCTGGGTGGATGTCACCACCCATGCGCCTCAAAGTAGAGGAGATGCCATTGACAAGAAGGTGCGCATCATGTGGTTATGTAAGTGATTTGTAATGGAACTGTTCGTTTACTCTCAAATGTTTTATTACACAGAAAAACACCTTCCAGCTGGTTATTGCATCACTGGAGAGTGTCTCCTATGCTATTGTCCTGTACCCAAGGGATGGGGTACAGTTTTCCTCCACGCCTGTAGAAGACGGTAGTGGGATCATGCATGCTGGCTTCAGTAAGGGTTTGGTCAAGGGTTTCCTGTTTAACAGTCAGGGACCATACTACCGCACCACCACTGATGACGAGTCATCCGTCAGGGCTTTAGCAGAGTAAGTCAGCCAATGGCTGTCAGCACAGGAACACATTTCCCTACCAGTGTTGCTGTTTGGATAATCTTTCAAGAACAGTGACTGTAAAGGTCTCTTTTCTTCTCATAGGGAGACCAACTCTGGCTTGCGAGGTGTCTGGGTGTATGAGATTGGAACTTCTCCCTATTTTACCAACGTGGCTCCAGGTGAGGTCACTGAATTACCCATTGAGGTGGCACCACAGGGCCCCCCTGAAGGCCACGAGGATGCTGCTGGTGCAAGGAGGCCTGCGTCTACTGATGGACAGGAAGTAGAGTACCCTTCTTATGAAGGGGGGCAGATCAAAGTCCACCCAGTTCAGTACCAGCCACATCAGCCTGAGAACCCAGAAGTGTTAGTGGTGGACGACACAGAAATAAATGTAGATGGTGAGTCCACAGGAGAAGGGCTCAAACTGAGTAACAGTGTAATTTTGTTTTATGCCCATTGACATAACATTTAGAAACATTTCTTATCATTGCTGGGGAGATTAGTTATTTAATCCATTTTCTGTTACTGTCATATTTCTTCTGTGTTTTCAGTGTTCTCGTACAACCTTGGAACATGTGCAAACAACAGAAATAAGTGCTCACAGTTTGCTGACTGCAGGGACTACTCTTCTGGATACTGCTGCTACTGCCGACCTGGCTTCTATGGAAATGGGATACAGTGTGTCGCGGAGGGTAATGTCACGCTTCTGCTTTAAGTGGTTTCAATTTTGCAACAAGATTGAAACTGAGTATTACTGCTTTAGGGCAACAGAGTGGAATGGGTTTGGTTAAAATGCATGAAATATGTGGCAAACTTTAGAGTTTCATGCAGGCTACATTCTATGAGGTCTGAGCTAACAAATTTTGAACCTTAATGTAAAACACTGTGATGTGCCGTTAACGTAAGCCTAGCTAAAATTATCTATAACAAAAATTTTAATGTCATTAACTAGCTGGTGTTAAACACGGAACACTGACAGCATCAGTCCGAAAACATATTAAAACCAAATTATTCTACGCTCACATAGTGGAGCTTTCTTCCAGGTTGGTTTTCAAAAACTGTTTCAACTGTTTAAAATCATTATCTTAAACTCCCAGAAAGCATTTTATGTGTTAATTGTTCTTCTTAGTAGCTGGCAAAAGACGTTGAGGAAAGTCTTTTAGCAGTTTAACAGTTTTACTTCTTGAAATGTTCTTGGAAAAAAAGTGAATTTTTCCATTACACTACTCCTGGATTTCTTTGACCAAATTTGGCAAATCTGTGGGTTCAGTGACTAACTTTGATGATTTTGGTTTGTGTTTGCAGGGAAGCCACAGAGGATGAATGGTAAAGTGTATGGAAGAGTGTATGTGGGCAATTCTCCTTCTCCAGTGGAGTTCAACGGCAACGATCTCCACTCATACGTTGTGGTAAATGATGGCCGTTCCTATGTGGCCATCAGTGACATCCCTTACACCCTTGGGCCCTCACTGCAGCCCCTGTCGGGCCTTGGAGGTGTGATTGGGTGGGCGTTTGCTCTGGAGCAGCCTGGCTACAAGAATGGCTTCAGTATTATTGGTGAGGGGGAAAAACAACTGCACTAACAATATCTGTTCAATGGACACCCCGCTTCTCCTGTGACACAGCTTCTCCTGTGATTTTCTCATGCTTCGGTTGGTTAGAAAATGAAGCATGTTAATGCTGCTACAAGCAGTTTGCCATACAGCTGTAGTTTTACTCACTCTGTCCAGCTGAATTCCCCCCACGTTACCCCAGCTGAGACAGAATGCAGTAAACCAAAGTTCATCCACGGCCACGGTCTTAGAGTTAACCTCCTCTTCTCCATCCTCTGTAGGAGGGGAGTTCACACGGCAGGCTGAGGTGACCTTTCTGCCAGGGAATGAGAAGCTGACCATCAGGCAGGAGTTCAAAGGCATCGATGAGCACGACCACCTGGTGGTGAGCACCACCCTGGATGGCAGAGTCCCTGAGGTGCCTCGTGACTCCATTGTGAAGATCGACCCTTACTCTGAAATCTACCAGTACAGCAACAACTGTAAGATACAGCTTAAACAGAGAATGTCACTGTTTTTTAACACTGAACCCAATTATCCAAAATAATGTCAAGGTCTTTTTGTTTTGTAATCATATAAGTCAAGATATCTTACCTGCCTATCAAACCTTCCAGTGATCACCTCATCCTCCAATCGGGACTATGAAGTGAGCTTGCCCGATGGCTCCACTGACACGAGGACGTTTCAGTGGCGTCAGACCATCACCTTCCAGAGCTGCCAGCATGGCGAGCCTTCAAGAGACATGAAACCAACTCAGATGCTCAGCGTGGACCAGGTCTTTGTCCTGTACGACACTAGTAATGAAATCATCCGGTTCGCCATGAGCAACAAGATCGGGGATATCAATGGTGAGGTCATGGTGATTATTTTTGTCTTCCTGTTTTGGTCTGTGCTCACTTCCTTCCTGGAGCACAACATATAACATCCTCCTGAGCAAGGACAGTTTTACTAAACGTTAGGGCTATTGTTGAATTGTAAATAAGTTTGTCTCATTGAATCGCATGAATTAATATTATTGTAGTAACGTCTTCCTAAAATACACCCATAATTCTCAGGACGGCAGCCCGATGAGAACCCATGTTTCACTGGAAGACACGGCTGTGACACCAACGCTGTGTGCCGACCTGAACAGGGTACTCAGTTCACCTGCCAGTGTGCTGCTGGCTTCAACGGAGATGGCCGCACATGTTATGGTAAGAATGAATTGTGATATAATACCTTTGATTGTGGCAATAAAGAGGGTGTATCTCTCTTGATCTCTTGATTGTGTGTATCTCTTGATTCTCACCATATTATTTTCTGCTTTCAAGTAAATCCAACAGTTTCCAAATCTGTTTAGAGCCAGGATTTAATTAACCCAAACTTTCTAAAGCCTTCCTTCCTGGGGAACTGGGCAATCTTGCCAATCAGCAGAGGAAGTCTCTCATGGTAAACAAAGTTTCCCAGACTCCCAGACAAGGTTAACATGTCCAGTATGCTCCTCATCCCTAGCTCCAACTCTATACAACCAAGAATCTTTAGCATTAGAGACCAGACACGAAAAGCTCTGAGGCCAATACAGTAGAAAAAGGAAGGAAGTATTTCAGACAGATGCTATCTTCAAACATTGGTAATTAAGAAATTTAGTTAAGCTCTCTCCTCTGATCTCCCAACATCTGATAATGAAGGACACTGATCTGGCAAATCCAGACTTCAGTGCTCCAAACTCAAACTTGGACCTGCTGTGAAAGTGATTAGCATGTGATAATTGGCTCTTTTCTTTATCAGACATCGATGAATGCAGAGAGAATCCTCAGATCTGTGGCTCCCATGCTATTTGCAACAACCAGCCCGGGACCTTCCGCTGTGAATGTGAAGATGGATATCAGTTTGCCAGTGACGGGCAAACCTGCATTGGTAAGTGGTGTTTGTGGGCTTCCAAGTACAATTATATATTTCAGAAATCTCACCTGGTAGTTGGGATGTACAGGTTCAGACATAAACTGTAATAAAATGCCTTAAAATATTAAGTAGACCAGGGAAGATCAAGATAAAACACACGCATAAGTACACACATACAACTTTGAACTGACTGGTGCAGTGACATTACAATTTCAGAGATTATCTAGTTGAAAGTGTAATTAAGTTTCAGGCCTATATTGCATGCGTGACTGTGTCTGTAAATGTGTGTGTTTAAATAGCCTAATACACCCACTGTGCTGTTTGTCACCAACTGTAACCCACATATATTAAAGGTGCAATGTCTAAGATGTAAACAGGGCTCTCAAGTTTTATCAAAAGTTTAGAGTGAGATAACGCGTGTTAGAGGAGGAGCCACTCAAATATTTGCAGCAGTGGCCCCTCAGCCCCTCAAGCTTTTACTGGCAGTTAGATTTTACCTATAGTTAATAACTGACCTGAACAAATAGAAAGTATAACAATAGGTAAATCTGATTAAAAAAACTATTTATATATATATACTTATATTTCAAAAATACAACTGTATCAAAACTAAAAAGAAATTTGGCTCCAAACGAGCCCACTGAACAGGCGTGCTGTACACATAGGCCTACAGTAGGATGGCAGAACTTGCCCTACGCATGTATGCCAAGCTGTGTGTGTGAGTAGACTGCACATTTCAGCTTATGAATGGTGTTTTGTGTTGTAATTGTTTGTTGCACATTTAATGCCATGACAGGGGTAGGGGACTCCCACTTAAAGCACTGTGGCCAGCTATTTTCACTATCATGATGGATGATAGCTTTCCATCCAGAGCCAAATATAGAAAAATATCTGTAGTCCACTTTCTACTTCGACTTCACCACATCTCAAATGGAAATATTGTAGCTACTTTATCTGACAGCTTTAGTTACTAGTTACTTTAAAAATAAGATTTTTACACACAAAACGTATGAAGAGTTTAAAAAATAGGATGTTATGATATAAATTAAATTACTTAACAGTTTATACAGTCCAGCTATAGTCCAGCTAGTAGAACTACATCAGCTAGGCTAATTGACAGAAATGTCTGTGTTTAGAGTAAACAAAGGACTTCTCAGTGTGAGAAATACAAGGTTTGGCGTGTGACCGTGTGAACTGGCTGAAATGCCTGTGTCTCACGGTGAATGCGTGAGACTTGAGAGCCCCTGTAAGTGTTTTTAAGACTTTAAAGAATTAAAAAATTAACAAACTCCATCAACAGATGAAATAACAGTTTTGACATTATGTCAAAGACATATAAGTATAGTGTTGCAGATATGTAGAGATATCTACTGAAATTAGCGTGTCTGAAATTAGCATGCTAACTGGCTAGCCCCAGTCCATGCTGTCTCGTAATACCCACTTTGTACCTGAAGAGTCTGATAGTTTAGCTCAGTCCTTCACCCCTACCATGTTCAGATTGGATATGTGTGTGAGTAGCGAGCTCTCTACATTACACAAGCTCTTAGCCTTTTTAGTCTAATAAATAAACAAAATAAAATCACAAAATGTTAAGAACTGACTTATTCTTACACCTAATCTCCTTTTTAAACAGAAAAATTCTACTGTACACCTTCTGAATTAACGTTTCTCTCTTTCAACTAATTGCCTTGTAAACTCATAGTAAAACATACTTCACTTTCAAACAAAATACTGATCAAAGTGGCCTCTGTTTGTCTGGGAGAATGTGTTTGGTTCGGTCTGGTTGCCTGGTCTGGATGTGGGAGGCTACTAAGCCCGATTCTGTTGCTCGCTCGCCTGGTTCCTGTTCTAGTACCCATTCTGGACTCAGTCAGCTAATACGACTGATAAGTTAACTTCATGGCTAACTGAGCCAACTAGTTAACGGCAGTTAGCAGCAGTTTTGACCTGATATATAATATGTTGCCCCCTATTTTTGTGACATTGAATTAAACAGTTGGAGAGTAGTCTCAATTCTTACACATTGCACCTTTAAATAAATAAATAGTTCAAAGCTACAGCCGCTAAGCTTTGCGTAGCACAAAGATTGGAAACAGGAGGAAATAGCTAGCCTGGTTATGTCCAAATGTAACAAAATCTGCCTACCAGATACAACACATCATCTCCTTTGTTTACTCTAAACACAAACCAAAGGTTTCCCCATTTCCAGTCTTTATGCTAAACCAAGATAACCAACTGCTGGCTGTAGCCTTATATTTATGGGACAGATTATTACTCATGGCAAGAAGGTGAACTATTCCTGTTAAGGTAAAAAAAAATGACAAAAAGCATGACAAATGTTAAACTGTTTAAAAGTTAAATGTGATGTCTGGTCATTTTGAAATGCTTTAACGTATCAGTATCCGTATCTCAATCAAATCCCAAAATGAATGAACAGTACTTCCCTGGTCTTCTTCTCTTCAGAGGTTAATCGACCTGTGGACGCCTGTGAAGCAGGCACCCATAACTGTGACATTCCTGAGCGTGCTCAGTGCAGCTATACTGGAGGCTCGTCCTACATCTGCTCCTGTCTGCCAGGGTTCATAGGAGATGGCAGAATCTGCCAAGGTACTGCAAAGAGACACTAAATATTTGCCTGTGCTGAAGAATAATCACAGGAATGAACTGCTTATCTACAAAATGGGCCTCATTCAAAGGATACAGAATTTATTTAACATTAATGAGTAGTTATTGCATCTAAAGTATATTGTAACTAATTAGTTTTACATGATTTAGTTAATTACTATAACATTAGACTCACAGAACTGTATCAGTGGTTTGCATATTTTAATCCATATACATTACTGCCAGCCATTTAAGCTACAGAATGTAAGTTTTAAGACTGATCAACAACTTTAAATTAACACACTGGCTTCCATTATTTTTAGTGCAATATCAAAATCTAATTACAGACTTGAAACTTGCTGTAGATAGTACACCACAACGAATATGTTTTTCACTTTTGTTTTGTTTGTCAAAGTTTCATCAGGAGGAGAGTTTTAACTCCCTCCTTGCAATTGCCTTTTGTGTTGATGATTAAGTTCAACGACAACAAACATCTGCTGAAACTTGTAGGTGCTTAAATGGTGTGGTTAAGTCATATAACATGTTTAATGGTTGGTAATGTAATGTGAAGTATTTCTAGTCAACAGGCTAAAAGTCAACAGGATAGTCCTTGAACACAAGTAGTCCAGATTTCAAATCCATTATATGGACTTGGAGGCTATAATTGGTAAACCATCTGCTCAGGACTGGGGGAGGTGAGACTGCTTACATAATACAGCTGCTGTGATTGAACAGTAAAACCTGAAAAACAGATGGGAATTTCATGTGCCCTGCATTGGCGTGTAGGCTGGTCCTCAGTAGTGCTCATTCAGTTTCCATTCATTTCACCCCTTTTGCTTGGTGCTCTGCACTCCGAGGACAGTTATGGGCACAGTCTGACCCAGATCATAGTGTAGATCCCCGACCATAAAAGGACACAACGAATCGGACAAGCACGTAACATTTTAGCTCGTTCAGTTTTTCTCTGCCCTCGCTCACCCTCTTTTATCCTGCCTGAAGACATAGATGAGTGCCAGCCAGGCAGGTGCCATCGGGACGCTGTGTGTTATAACACCCAGGGATCATTTAACTGCCAGTGCAGGCCGGGTTACTATGGCGACGGCTACTACTGCTCTTCAGGTGAGTCTTTTGTCACTTTTTGACAAGCAAACACCAAGTCTTACTCAAACAGTGCATCGCTGTCAGTTGACTTGGTTTTATATTCAGTGTGGTAACATTCAGTCTGTGCTGCTAAGAGTTTATTTTGGTTTATTTTGTCGTGGGACTTTTGACAGTTTTGGTAATAGTTTTCTTTGATTTAGTCAATACTAGAATAATTTCCATTCTCAGCATTGTTTATTCCAACCATTTGGACAAGGGGAGTGTTTGGAAATGAGTTCCCCGCCAGAGTATATTGGTGCCAGCTGGAACCTGTTTTTCATTTTCTTCTGGATAGTGAAAGGAATTTGTCCTAAGAAGGATGTGGGAGTTTCTGCATAGCTGAAATTAAAGCAGAAGAATATAAAGGAAATATAAATTACCTTGTGAATAAGTTTGTGACATTGTTGCACAGCATCTGTGTTCACTGTGGAGCTTATAAATATATATATATATATATATATATATATATATATATATATATATATATATTTTTTTTTTTTTTTTTATATTTCTCTCCAGAGAGGACAAAAACACAATGTGAGACTCACAGAGATAGTCTCCAGGGTGGGTCTCCACGGGGCCCCCGACCTCCCATTGGACAGTACATCCCTACGTGTGATGAGAACGGTGACTATGAACCCATGCAGTGCCACGGCGGCACGGGACACTGCTGGTGCGTGGACCAAAATGGGCAGGAGATCAGCGGGACTCGCTCTGCACCTGGCACAAGACCAAATTGTGAGTGGACAACAAGAGACCAAAGTGTAGCTATCTCTGTGTATTTAAAGACCGAACAAGCATGACCAACTGAGAGTTTGAAGAAGTTTTTGTTGACCAGAAAACTAAACTGATTTGAGGTTGGTTTCCCCCCCACAAGACCCCTGATTTGTCAGTGTTTGTCTCCGGTAGGTGCTGATCCTGTGCCACCTATTGGACCCATCCCTCGACCCGATGTCCACCCCCTGCCTCCAGGAACACACCTGTTGTATGCCCAGAGCGGCAGGATAGAGCACATCCCGCTGGAAGGTTACGATATGAAAAAGGACGGTGCCAGGGCTGTCCTCCACCTCCCTGTAAGTTTCTTTAAATTAACTTCCTCCTTAGAGAGAAAGTTCTACAAGCAGTTTGAGTGGATCCGTGTGATCCATTTCTATTTTGGTTTTATTTTTTTTGTGGTTTGAAATGCTCGCCAGGAGTGATTTATTTAACATGTCTACAATCCAATACCAACATTTTCCGGTAGATTTTAATAAGCTTTTCTATTTGTGAAAACATATTTGGTTAAAATGTATTACGATGTGAGGTAAAAGGGAATATTGAATTGGGTTTACGTCTGTCCTAACAAATGTTTATAAGATCTTATGTTTCCTAAGATCTCATAGCTGTACAATAAGCACTTTTGAGTAAGTGAGTTACTTAATATGCGTGATCATTCAGATTATACTTGAGAAAACAATCCCAAAAAGCTACAGTATGTTTGGATTTCTCAGTTGTGTATACATCATGAGCTCAGCCTCTTACACAAGTCGCTCCCTTGCTGGTAATAATACTTGCGTTCTTGCATTTCTTACGATTTCCCCATGTGCTTCATGCATTCAAGGCCTGCGCTTTATTGGAGGCACATGGTGACATTCACACTAATTGCTAACATCTGTTTGACTTCTTTGGAATTGCAATCTGCATCACACTGACTTCCAAACCAGCTGGTTTGAAGCCTGGCCGGGTTGCTCATGCTCAGTGTGTGGCTCTGTTTGTTTGGATTCATGTCTAGACGTTAATGTCAAAAAAATACACATCTGCTCTTCATGTTTTTATCTCAGGCCACTCTTGTTTGAACAAAGTGCACTTCAAAGATTGTTGATTGTTGACCCCCTCTGCAGGAAAAGGTAATCATTGGAGTGGCTTATGACTGTATGGAGAAAATGATCTACTGGACTGAAATTACGTCTCCCTCAATCAGCAAGGCCAGCATCCAGGGAGGAGAACCCGTTGCGGTCATTAGATCAGGTAACGTCCCTGTTCACGTTTATCCTTCACTCTGCTGGTTCTCTTTCATTTTTCAGCCATTTGTGAATCAGGAGACTGTTTTCATAAAGCAAAGAAATAGGGCTGCAACTAACGATTATTTTCATTGTTGATGAATCGGTCAATTATTTGCTTGATTATTTGTTTGGCGTATAAAATGTCGGAAGCCCTAGATGTCATCCTCAAATGTCTTGTTTTGTCCACAATCCAAAGATATTCAGTTTACTGTCATAGAGGAGTAAATAAACTCACAAAAAATCACATTTTAGAAGCCGGGATCAGTCCATTTGACTCCAACCAATTATCAAAATAGTTGGCGATTAATTTAAGAGTTGACAACTCCAACTACTAACTTCTCCAACTACAAAGAAACCAATGTGCTAAATGTAACTTCTCAACAGATTTGGATAGCCCAGAGGGTATCGCCGTCGACCACTTGGGGCGGACCTTGTTCTGGACAGACTCTGTGAAGGATCGCATCGAGGTGGCCTCTTTGGACGGGTCTCAGCGTCGTGTCATTATAGACTCTGATCTTGTCAACCCCCGTGCTATTATCACTGACCCTCCCAATGGGTGTGTACTGTTTCACATTCTTTTCACATGGTACACATACGAGAGTGAGATACCAAACTGCTAAGTTGTTATAAGCAAAATCATCCCCTCTCAGTTCTGATTTGGCAGGACACAATAAAAACATTTTTGGGAATAAGCTGATTTCCTTTGTTTCAGAGAGTTAGAAAAGAAGATCAATATGAAGCTACAGCTAGCAGCCTGTTAGCTTAGCTTAGCATAAACACTGGAAACAGGAAAACCGCTCGCCTCTGGTTTTTGTATGAATTTAAGAAACGAGACGTAATGTGTTGTGTCTGGAGGCAGATATGTTCACTTCGGACTGAGCCTGCCTAGCTAGTGTCCCCTACTTCTTGTCTTTATGTTAAACTAAGTATACCAGCTTCTGGCTCTACATGAAAGCGGTACTGATTTTCTCATCTAGCTCCTGTCTATTCCTTTAAATCTTTGTAAATACACACCTGGATAGCACCACAGTTTGTGTTGCATTATTATCACATTTATCATAAATCATCAGACTCACGAGAAGCTTAGCAACACGTTTGATTATCTACTGTTAAAGCATCAACTGTATAGGTAAAAGATTTTATTAAATTGTGTTAAAATCTACCAAAATTTAAATCTGTTCACTTTGATAATGACTGACTCCACACCTGTCCCTACCACAGTCATCTATACTGGGCCGATTGGAACCGCGATGCCCCCAAGATTGAGACCTCTTACATGGATGGATCCAACAGAAGGGTGCTGGTTAAAGATGATCTCAGCCTGCCTAACGGATTGACTTACGACTCTCAGAGCTCTCAGCTTTGTTGGGCAGATGCAGGTAGCTACTGTAGATTTTTAGATGGATGACTCATTTATGAAATGATGCTTGCTTTGTGATCGGTAATAAGTGTAATCTCTTGCCTGTAGGCACACATAAGATGGAGTGCATGCATCCTGGCCGGGGTGACCGCAGACAGGTTATGGAGGGCATTCAGTACCCTTTTGGAATCACGTCTTTTGGGAAGAACATCTACTACACTGACTGGCGGAGGTTTGACTTTTTGTATTACCATGAACATGTTTGAAGTCTACCTTTTTCTCCAGTGACAACATATGGGGTGTAATTTAAACACATTTTGTGGTAGGGGTTTAGTTCTTGTGTACCTTGATGTAATTTGGACAGTTTAAAATGACTACACATTGGAATTTATAGCATCAAGTACATAATGCAGGCTTTATCCATGGTCCACTGTGCAATGTAAGAACCCAGATCTGTCAAGGTGGAGGAAGGAGAGGGGAGGTCAGAGGTTCTGAAGCTCCCAACACCTCAAGACTCTGACACTCCCACTTTGAAGACTGTGGAGCTTTCTTCCCATGCGCTCAGATTCTGTATGTTAGCCACTGCAAAAAGGCGGGGGTTGGGGTGTCTATTTGTGTGTGTGTATGTGGGGTGAGGAAGCATCTTAAAAAGTGGCAGCTGCTTGCAATTTCTCAGCGTCTGTGAGTGACCTGCCCAGGGCCTCTCTCTGATCTTGCCAGAGCAGTAGCCTCTCTGGAGAAGGTTGAGACGTGGTGGGGGGGAAGGCACACACAAACTATATGTCAGTTATGGCTAAGAAACCTACGCTAACATTTACTCATTCTCGATGTACTTTATACAAAACACTGGGAGGCAGGGGGACATTTCTCAAGCTGATAGTCCCGGATTGCTAAACTCCTGTGCTGACTGTGTTTACAACAGGGATGCCGTTGTGGCTGTGGACCGCTACACTGGCAGGCAGTCAGACGAGTTCCAGCCTCAGAAACGGACCAAGCTATATGGGATCGCCACAGCCTATGCCCAGTGTCCTTCAGGTAAATATGCCAGTTGTGAGGATACATATAGTCCCCTTAAATTCCCCTACAAATGTTTGCTCTTGAAGTCTATAAAATGTTTATTTATAGGTACATTTTTTATTTACCTAGTAATTGGGTCTTTTCACGCCTGGAGTCACCTTTATATTACAATTACATTTGCGGGTTGAGTCAGACTTAATATACTTTCCATATACTCTTCAGGACCTAGCAGCCCTGTTTTGTGACCTCTGTGCCCTCGGTACAAGTGCAGAGTGCGAACAAGAAAAATCACAGGTTCACTCCTTGACCTGGAACCAACAGGAGGAATTCTGCATTAAGTAAAGGGATTACTGATGTGCAGCATCAGGCCTTATCCTCCCTTCTAGATAAGGCTGCATGCATAAAGCCAGGGAATGTGGAGCCAGGGCGGGAGGGGGCCTCCAACATCTGGAGTTTGCTTGTGTTTCCTTTAAGAATATATCTGTTGAACAAACAGTGAAGAGACTGTTCTCTGCTGTTCCCTGCTATGGGGGCTTTGGCTTATGATATATACAAATGTCCTGGAATGTGCCACGTTAATGACAGTTGGTATGTTTTTTACTTCCACCAGGACAAAACTACTGTGCTGTGAACAACGGAGGCTGTACTCACCTCTGTTTAGCAACCCCTACCAGCCGCTCCTGCAAATGTCCCAGCAACGCAGTGGCTGTGGGCTGCGTGGAGAGAGACAGCGGGTACTGAAAGGAGGCGGCTGCGAGAGTTGACACTGTTTGGATGTTTGACCGCAAATTAGGAGCCACTCAGCATTACTAAACTATAGCTGCTGAAAACGCCACTGAAAACCAGAGATGAACTAAACTGTGCCTTTTATCGCTCAGTGTTATGCTTATCTACATTTTTACATTTCCCATTGCCTTTATAAAACCACAAATGCCTTTGAGAATTGTAAATACAAACACTATTATTTTTTTGTCTTTTCCTGAGTGCACATAACCTGAGAATAAAGCTCAAGGGATACATAATTTAATGTGAACTTCATCACAGCATGTCACGGCATGACATCATCTCATGTCAGATGCTGTTACACTGTGGTATGGTTGGATTAGTTTATCTCATTGAGGTATTGTGAAGTATGACTAGTTTCTGTACATGCTGGTGGGATGAGTTTACATGCTGGGCAGCAAAAGAATAAACTTTTTCTAACATGTTGGTCTGCACTGTCTGTTGCTTTAGTGTCATAATAGCGACACCGTGTGTTAGGTAGAGTTAATTACAAGTCCATATTTGGGTGCCAAAGCTTGTCAATAGGGTTGAAAAAAAATACCTGTCTAAAGCAGATTTATATAATGTAGGATATATAGTTTGTAGGGTCCCTAAACACTAATATTATATTAAATTTATCATGAAATACTCTGTAAATTAGTTTCACCTCATTTTGTTATATATTATATTATGTATTTCAAATTCATTAAATAGACGTTTACCTGAATAACTGAGCCAACCACCTGAAGAAGTGACGAAATGTGGCACTAGGTGGATTTAATTTACCAGGACACTGGACAAATGACTAGCCCTATCATGTTGCTTAAGAAATAATATAGAAACCTGCCTCTAAGTGCTAGTTTGTTGTTCTCACGTGGCCCATTTACAAAATGCAATGTGTCAACTGGATGACGTTTCTGATTTGTAATATATATATATATATATATATATAAACAAAAATGCTGCCACCCCCAGTCTGTATGCTGCCGCAACAAGGGAGACACTTGCTTACGTCAATGGTGCGTTAATGGGCTCTTGATAAACTCGGAATTTGGTAAATTTACCACACGAGCCTCAACCTTTGGAAACCACAATATTCACAATGGGGTTGCAACCTTGCAACTAAAGTTATTATTTATCAAAATATTCTTTGCTATGAGACAAATAAAAGCAGCAAATCTTGATAAGTGGCCGCGGTGTATTCGTGGATTTACCGAGACTCAATTCAATTAAAATTAGCTTTATTAACATGAATGTGTAACAACAATATTGCCAAAACATCATACATACCACATAAGAACAATCAACCCCATACATTTCAATAAACAAGTAATTAAAGCGTAAAGTAAAACAAACTCAAACAAGCGTTCCTGAAAGAAATGTATTGACTGATTGGGGAACTTGTGTGTTGTCCAATGGGAAGCACGGCAGGAGTCAGTGGGCATGTCACCGGTTAGGAGACTTCTGTGGCGACCCTCAAACTTGTCTGCGAGGAATATTTTGCCGTGGACAACGCGGATTAAAAACAAATAAATTAGTCTTTTGGATTAATTATTTTATAAATGGGACACCGAGACGCCTTTCATTTTAGCACGTTGTGTTTTGTGCCAAGTCTGATGATTTTAAAAGTCAAACTGTCTTTATCTAGAGGACTCAAACATGATAACTGTAGGCCTAGTCTGTGTCGAAATATGGGATTTATATCCTCTAAGCAAATAGAAATAAAACATTAACTAAACTTAACAGAATTAATTAAATCTTTGTTCCTAACCGCCATTAAAAGATATTTTCAGTTGCTCACCAGCCGTTGATGTTCTGGGACGTTCCAAAAATAACGGCACACAAGGAAACGGCGATATTGTACGGGATTGTCTTGCAGTCAGCACTTAGGGCAGAATCACACAGAGTAGTATCTGCTGGACGAAGGCTAGCATCAGCTAGCATTAGCTGGCTTTAATTTATGGGAAACGAAGGTATGTATGGAGGGTTTTCGGATTAAAACTTGGAACTGAATTTCATGAATGTAAAGATGTATCTATAGCTGGACCGTGTGCTTATAGTAAAAGCCTTTAACGATGTGTTCGTTGCTCTGTGTTACACAGTTTTGACAGCTGCCATACACAGTAACGTTACGATGCGATGCAACAACCACCATAACAGCTAACGTTATGCTTGTTATTAACAAAAGAACTCAAATTTCGGAACATGTGTTTTGTCATTAAAGTACGTTGTAGAACACATTAGATATAGCGGCTCTGAGGCTAATTTGGCGTTTATGCAAATATTACAGTTAAAATCATCGAGCTTTCTTGCTACCTCTTATGATCAAGTTAGCTACAACAATAAACCTAACTGTCGAGCAGAACTTTCAAAATAAAATTTAAATGGCAACTGAGAAGCACTTCAGTCCTCAAGTGGAAGAAAACAATATATTCAGTGGAAAATGTAAATTAAAAACAATTACAGAGTTTGTGGTACATAGTTAATATTTGCAATCATATATGAGAAGAATCTATGCTATTAAGGAATAGAATGTAGGATGTTAATTTATTATTATTATTCTCAAAATAATTGCTTTGCTGAAATTCATCATGCAGAAAAAATAAAGTATAGAATATATTCTTTATTTGTAGACTTTGGTATGTAGGAAATATTTGTTTTTAAATCCTATTAAGGAAACCTTGAACTAGGGCTGGGCATATGGCCAAAAATGTTATCATGATAAAATAATTAACACTGTTTGATATTGATAAGTTTAAAGGCTGATTTTTGATGTTGAGTGAAAGTTGAAGAAACCAGATGGTTAATTGTGTTTTTTAAACTATTCTTTATGGTCAGAACATGATAAACACAGGCTAAACAATTAATCTATTACCAAATCTGAGGTTGAACATTCAAAACAATTATGATAAAATATTAAGAAAATATAACAGAAATGCATGAGGAAAATTAAGTAAAACCTTATTTCAGTCCCTTTTTCCTCAACAAAATAAATATCTTAATAGAATAATTAAGTTCCAATTCGTTCATGATTCAAATGAATTAAACCAAACATTTATTAAACATTTGTTATGTTGTTATTGAGGAAAATTCTATTGCAATAATTATTGTTATTGTTTTTTTGCCCAGCCCAAGTTTTGGCATGGTGCGAGTCACCTCACTACTAAGACTTAACATTTTGAATTGTGGGAATGAATGCTTTACTATTACATATGCATATCTATTGCTTTAGCTATATTTACCATGTGTGGTTTGTAATTATAGAAACAAAATGGCCTTGCATTAGAATGTATCGCCTTTAAATTAGACTTTTTAAATTTACAGAAATTATTACTGCTTAGTAATTATTGTTATAAAGTAGTAAACATCTCATTTAATTGTTTTGTAAGGGTTTCTACCGAGATTATACATACTGTACCAATTTAGGTGCTTTTATTCTGAAAACAAAATACCTTACCGGAAATGAGTTGCTTCAACCTGCCAGAAGACTTGACGCAGGTTCTGTCAGATATCGCTAGCTAGCTTCAGTCAGTTGTTTTGGTGATGCAATTGTGTGTCAAACTAGTTCGTATGAAGTTTCGGGTTCAAATTAGGTTCAAGTGCTTCACAAACAACTGAATTCGTGGGCAAAAGCGAAAGTGGCTTTGTCAGCTAAATCTGTTCTGCTAACCTTTGACACTTGAATTTTTCTGCAGAAGCACAATTTAAAATGGGCAAAGCAGCGCAGTGAATTATGAATCTGCTATGAATGACTCAGGAGAAGAGTTGGGGCTTCATTCGCTGCTGCCCGGGACACTCTTAGCCGTCTGGAGGATTAGGGAGGAAAACAAAAGGAGAATTTTGTCGTTCCGGACTTCCTTGACGCCCTGACAACATGGCCAGTCCACAGCAGAGTGAGCTGTCCTACGCCTGGGAGAAGTACATGGACTGTAGACTGCAAGGAGCGGATCTGCAGGTAGGAGCTGCTGGCAGACACTGAAGCAGGAGCCGGGGTGATACAGGCTCAGCTCAGGGGTCTTTCTGTGGGCGGAGGTGTTGTTTACTTTCAGTTCCTCGACTGCAGGATAAAGCCTTAACCAAATAGAAATGTTATTTGGAAAGTCTTGAATAAAGTTAGCTATATCTTGTTCATTCTGATGGAGAAAGTAATTGTTTACATCATGTTTAAGTTTCCAAACTGGTCATGTACAATATTTAATTCTTAAAGACTTATAAAATAGGAAAATAAAGTTGATACAACTTGCAAATACAGCATAACTCATTTTATTGTAGCCCACTCTGAAAGAATGAGGGTTTCTTGTTGGTTTAGAGTTTTTTTTTTATTTGACACACCATAATCCAAATATTTAGTCCTTACTGCATCTAAACTGTTGCAGGGTGCTGGTGTCAGTATGAGATTTGTTTCATTCCAAGCAAATGTTCACAAGGTAACATCATCCAACAATAGCAAACATTGTTCACATTCTTTTAGTCTGCTCCTTTTCATTTAAGCTGCTTAAATTACCTTCCTGTTTTTCATTTGGCCCCAGATGCCACTTTTTAGAGTCAGAAATGTATCTGATACATAAACGCAAGCAGGACCAGCAGTGAGTCACTGCACAGAGGTAGAGGTGTAAACCACAGGTTGCACATTATGAGTGTTGCGCAAGTGCACTTTTCCTTTGTCGGTGTATCACAGGAGTGAGAAGCAGTGGTTATGAAATTGCCCCCCCCTTCTGTTCTCAGGGAACTTAACAGCAGCCAGATCACGAGACTTGGATTAGGATCGAACTGCAGGCTAAAAGTGATCATGACACACACACAGATTTAGCCATTATGTTAGTCGATTATGTTTGATTTATCATGTATAGGTCACCCTTACAAGACAGAACTGCAACCATTTTTAAAGCTAATGAGTGCTAAGAAAGTCTGTAGCGGTTTTTTTTTGTTACTTGGAAAACATGGCTTCCTTCCTCTACAGTCATCGCATCTGTGGTGTTGTGTGGTATGCTTCGTTGCTTTGTTAATCACGTAGGTGTGGATCAGGAAATCAGCTGTAGAAATGGTGTGGCTTGATCTCAGTTGCCATAGTAATGCTTGGACAGCACCAAGCAGGCTCTGCCCATCTTTTACTCAGTAACTTTTTATGTCACTTTTCTGTTGTGACAACTCTCTTGGGATGACGCTTGTCACCTTCACAGTGATCAAACTGTTATGTGTTTGTGTGTGTGTTTGGATGAGAAGCAGAAAGATGGCTGTGTGAGCACAGCTGTACTCTCTAGTGTGCTGAGACCGTAGCTTTCCCTGCTGGTTGAATCTGATGGGGGACACAGTGACAAGCTGTAGCACTCACATGGATACTGCCGCACTGCTTGCACATCATATTTTTTCTTCAGCTCATTCTGCCAATCCCATGAGTGCTGCACACGTGTATGCTGTACGTCCTTAGCATCTCACCCAAAGT